GAGCACGCTCTAGGTCAATGAACCTAGTCTTGGCCGATCCTCCCCAAAGCGGGATGCAGTATGTGATAATAGATTCGCATAGGGAGGTATAAACTGTTTTAAGAATAGGCAAGTCAGCAGAATTTCGGAGCTTTTTGAAGACGTATATTAATTTTCTAACCCTTGCTGCCAATATTTGCATATGTTCATAGCAATTTAGGCAGTGATCAAGGGTTACCCCCAAATATTTTGTGGATGAGGTTCTGTTTAAGGAAGGGCATGAACATTTAAGGCTATTAATTGGACAAGTATGGGCTTTTATTGTGATGGAGTCCACCGCAGGTTGGCTAGATGGATTAATCGCAAAGGTTAGGTAGGTAGTTTTTTCTAAATTTAGTGTCAGAAGATTGTTCGCAAGCCAGTCGACTGAAAGGCTAAAGGCTTGTTCGGCCGAGATTCTGGTTTCAGCCCAAGTCTTACCGTAAACTAATATGGCAGTGTCATCAGCATACGAACAGATATGTGAATTAGGTAGCGAGATATCACAAAGTTCATTGAGGTAAATCGTAAAGAGGGTAGGGCCCAGGATGCTCCCTTGTGGAACCCCACATGGTACTGGGACTTCGTTACTAGTAAGTGAACCAATACGAACGCATTGAGTGCGATCTTTTAGGTAGTCAGTGTAAATTTTTAGGGCATCTCCTCTGACACCCACCGATTCAAGTTTTTTTACTAAAATTGGAATGGAAACTGTGTCAAAAGACAAGTTTATATTCTTGAAAAGCAAGGTGACGTAATTACGACTGATTTCACCGGACACGATCCAGCGTAGTCTGGTTTCAAAAAAGAAAAGATTGGTTTTCCAATACCTAACTTTATCTGCTGGGTACCCAGCAAGTCCCAGAAAACATCAGTACCAAGTAATAAATCCACATCATCAGACTTGTAAAAAGTGGGGTCAGCTAGACAGACATGAGACGGAACACATAAGTCAGAAATGTTTACATTACGACATGGAACCTCAGTTGTAATTGATGGTAAAATAAAACACACTAATTTAACAATAAAACAATTATTCATTGATGTAATATCGGTACGACATGTTTAACCTACGCGTAACGTCACGTTATTAATGCCAAATATCGACCTATCTATCTCATTAGTACTTAGTAGTAGTAATCCAACTGTTTACATAATTGTTGCGTTACAAAGCGCTACGTACTACCGCTGTCAAGCACTGCGCGAACCTCATGTTCTCGAGCACTACGAACACGTAACTTGCCTAACGTCGACGTAACGTCGATAACAACACATCATGTTGATTATTATTATCACAAAAAGATGTGGTGCTAGCCGATAACGCAACAAAACTTGTCTCAGTGCTCGCAGACGGCACTGACAATACAGAAAGCAAGTTATCAGACCACTTTTTCATATTATCCTGATTAGTATTCGCTATACTTTAAAATCAGCTACATGGATAAGTGTATTATGCCAGTATTATTTACATTTAGGACAAACCTTCGTAATTGTAGTGGTGCTAGAATTGTTGTTACCATGCACAGTCACCATAGATTTAACCTTAAGGCATAACTTTATATTCGGGTGGGACGAGTTATTTCGAGACAACTTTAACGTTTCTGTTAAGTCCTCCCTGCCGTACTCTATGTCTGTGGCACATTCCGGCGTTACCGTAGTCACCCTGGGGCAGGACGCTGCCGCGCCTCTCACTGCTCTACACAGTAAAAGGCGCAACAGCGTCCCGCCTTAGACGACATCCTCTGGTTACACCGGAGTGTCACCTGATGAGATATGGCCTCAGCCTATTGTGACCGGCAGCGGTGGGGGAGCTAGCAACCTCTGCCGCGTCCCCTTCGCCGCCTCCTTCGAGCGGGATCGGCCCTCGGCCGCTCCGCGGTCTCCTTCTGGAGCATAACGTCCTCGCAGAAGGAGACCGCGGATCCCATCCCTCGCCACTCGCCAGCATTGATAGCGACAATGCTGGCGAGTGGCGAGGGATGGTGACAGGTTTCGTCCGATCTGTCCAACCAAGACTCGAAGTTCAGAATCCCAGGCAGGGCAGTCCTCCAGCGTGTACTCGTCGGAGTCCCGGTTGGACCCGCGATGGTGACATTGTGCCGTAAACTCCCGTCCAATGCGATTCAGATACTCACCGAAGCAACCGTGCCAGGTAAGCATCTGAGTCCATCGGTAGGTGATACAGTCGTTCCTCCTTACCCACGCTTCGAAGCTCGACAGAACGGCTCCGACGGCGCGTTGGCTAGCACAGCCCTGGATTTCGAGCCCGCAGAGCCTGCGTACGCGCGTTCCGCCGTAGCCTTCCGTTGTCATAAGAAGGGTGGATATCGCGCCAGGACGACCCGTATGGCCATCAATCGCTGCAGGCTTCTGAGTAGAGCCTTGCAGCGGTAGGCACCCGCCGAGTCTCGCAATAATATTTTTCATTTTAGATTTGGGTATTTATGTAAGATTTAACTAACGTAGAATATAAGCATAGAATTAACGAGAGCTCCAATTTTGCAATAGAGGCAAAGAGAGATATGGATAATAGATTTTTTTTAAGGAAGAGGGCACAAACGAGCAGACGGGTCACCTGATGGAAAGCGACTACCACCGCCCATGAACGCCTGCAACGCAAGTCACAAGCTCGTTGCCAGCCTTTAAGGAAGTAGTACTTACGCTCTTTTCTTGAAGGTTTGAAGGTCGTATCGAGTCGGAAATACCGCAGCCGAAAACTTGTTCCACAGGATAGTAGTGCGAGACAAAAAGCGTCTTGAAAAGCGCACAGTGGTGGAGTGCCAATTATCCAAGTGGTGGGGATGAATATTTTGCCGTGTGAAACGATGCAGAAAAATTGCGGCCAGTATTTGTTCCAACAGTTCCTCGAAGCACTCTTCATGATATAGATGATAGAGAATGCAGAGCGAAGCTACATCTCTACGTAACGCCAAGAGATCAAGCCGGTCGAAAAACTCTTGGCTATCGATGATTCGAATCGTTCTTCTTTGGATACGATCCAGAGGAAGAAGCTGGTACTGAGGTGCCCCTGCATAGAGATGAGAACGGTATTCAATATGCGGCTGAATTTGTACCTTATAGAGTTGGAGGCGATGGGCTGGAGTGACATTCTGCCTTGATCTATTCAGCAGACCAAGCTTCTTCCTAGCCAATTTGACTTTACCCTCTAAATGACCTTGAAACTGGACTTCACTCGATATTTTAATGCCTAAGATTCCGATACTGGCTGAGGCAGTTAGGGAGGTGCTCTCGAACCGAGGCGATGCGACAAACGGTATCTTTTTTGAGATGAACGCACAAACCTGTCTTTTTTGGATTAAAATGGACTAGATTTAGTCGATCCCAATCTAAAACATCGGTTAAGGCAGTTTCAATTTCAGACACAAGTATGTTTCGACTCTCGATGACGTTTTCTGTTTTCCGAGAAAAATGGGGGCGGCCGGTATAAAAGGCATCTACCGTGCTGTTCGCACCATATCATTGATATGCAGAAGAAACAGTGTGGGTGATAGCACACAGCCTTACAGGATACTAGCATTTACTGACTTCAAGTCGGCGCATGTCTCTATCTCTTTATAGTCGAGCTGTGTAATTGGCTGGGGAATACGAGTGGTTAAGTAGCCAATCGCAGCTTAGCTAAACAGAGACAGAGAAAACTATCGGGCATGCATCCCACTTGTTGCCTGTATCGCTTCCACTTACAGACAGCTGTACCCCATGTTCTCTCTATGCTTATATCTCTATGTTAATTACAGTTTGATATTGCCTATATGTACGTACCAGTGTTGCCAGAACAGTATAGAGTATTGTGTTGCTTAGGTTTCAATGAAACAATTAGGTATTTCATACAACATTTATTGAAGTTTATGTAAAATAGCGTTTACTGAACAAGAACATTTATAACAATTAAAATATTAAAAAATATTTTCCAAGTATAGTTAGAAATGTCGAATAATTTAGATAAACTTTTCAATCTTTGAGATGTACTCCATACATTTGTTCCTGTACAGCGTGTTGTTATAGAACACGAGGCTGTTATAAAATTCTCCAGTATTCGTGGTCTGTACCGTCAGACAATTCAGCACATCTTTAGTTCCTTCAGCCCTTACATCGCCACACTCCTCTATCATTTCAAGATACTTTAATGCAGTTTTGTTCTTAAGTTTCCTCAGTATAATGCTACTTTGAGATGTGAACCCTATTCCTTCAAAACATTGTTTTGCAACAATGTATATGACACTCACATTGAAATGCGTCAAAATATTTATGCTCTGTACCAAGAGACTCCCCGATCAACAACTGCTGTAAAGTATTAACAGTAGTTTGAAACACCTTTTTTGAAAAATACTTATTATAGCTCTCTGAATGCTCGTATTCAGGAAGCGACAGTCTTTTATTTAACTCGAGTCCAAACTCCCTACTGTTCTTAGTACTTGGTCCAGCATCTTTGTCGATTTTTGTAATTTTTTTTAATCTCTTTAAACTCCTCTTTGGTCAAAATCCGTCAACTTAATAATATACATTTTGAGCTGTTTATCTTCTGCAGAGGGCAGCCATATGTGAATTTCAGTTTAATCTCTGTCTCTTCGACATGGAACTGCATTCATTTAACAGCTTCGTTTATAAGTATCAGTGGATTGGACAGCACTGTGGCCTGCATCTCTTAGGGCAGGCTTTTGTCAGTTGTATCAACTGCCTGCCTGTCTTTATAATAATAATTGTATTTTTCATCTTAGATTTCGGTATTTATGTAAGATTTAAAAGTTGATTACAATTTGATATTGCCTGTAATAATGTTTGTACCTCTGTTGCCAGGACAGTTTAGAGTATTGTGTTGCTTAGATTTCAATGAAACAATTATTTCATACAACATTTAAGATTTATTGAAGTCTATGTAAAATAGCGTTTACTGAACAAGAACATTTATAACAATAAAAATATTAAAAAATATTTTCCAAGTATAGTTAGAAATGTCGAATAATTTAGATAAACTTTTCAATCTTTGAGATGTACTCCATACATTTGTTCCTGTACAGCGTGTTGTTATAGAACACGAGGCTGTTATAAAATTCTCCAGTATTCGTGGTCTGTACCGTCAGACAATTCAGCACATCTTTAGTTCCTTCAACCCTTACATCATCACACTCCTTCTCTATCATCTCGAGATACTTTAATGCAGTTTTGTTCTTAAGGTTCCTCAGTATAATGCTACTTTGAGATGTGAACCCTATTCCTTCGAAACATTGTTTAGCAACAATGTATACGACACTCACATTGAAATGCGTCAAAATGTTTATGTTCTGTATCAAGAGACTCTCCCCGATCACCAGCTGCTGTAAAGTATTCAACAGTAGTTTGAAACACCTTTTTTCAAAAATATGATAGCTCTCTAAATGCTCATATTCAGGAAGCGACAGTCTTTTATTTAACTCGAGTCCAAACTCCCTACTGTTATTAGTGTTTGGTTTAGCATCTTTGCTAAATATAATATCTTTAAACTCTTCTTCAGTCAAAATCTGTTGGTACAACTTAAAAATAGGCACAAATATAAATTTTGAGCTGTTTATCTTCTGCAAAGGGCAGCCATATGTGAATTTTAGTTTAAGCTCTGTCTTTTCGTCATGTAACTGCAACCATTTAACAGCTTCGTTTATAAGTATCAGTGGATTGGACAGTACTTCGGCCTGCAGATATGAATTCAGATTGTTTAACTTTTCCCTCAAAGACATTTTGGTGTACAACTGTCTTTCAGTGTACGAACCTCGATAGTATCGCGGATTCATGTTAACTTTATTCTCTTCGTGAAGGATTCCTTTCAAGATCTCTTGTTCATATTCGAGAGGTTTCAGATCATACTGCCAAATGAATTCTGTAGCTACTATTCCACGTATTTTCTTAATGTCCCTGTGTAGTGCAATGTTCTTTTGCATTAGATATGCCTGGAGATTATTATTTATAACTTGGCACTGTATTGAGCAAAAATATAGAGCACATTCCTCGACCTGTTTGAGAAATGATTCAGGTATGGCTTCAAGATTAAACATTGCAGCATTTCCATAAAGTTCGGAACCATACACAGACTGCATCGTTGGAAAGTATTTCTCCAAGTTTGAAGAACCTTTGTACCTGAGGCAAATAGCATAGACCTCCGAGTTGCCCTGTCGCGAAGTGACCGGTTTGTAAATGTTCACTTCGTGGAACAAATGGTTTATCAGATATAGTAGGCAGACTGTTGAATGCTCAAATATCGTGAAGAGTTTGAATATCAGTGTACCATCTGAAAATTGTAAATATTAGGTTGTAAGAAATATATTTCGATGGTAGATTTGGGTATACCAGTCAGTAGGTTATTTATAAATCGAATTTAAAGACATAGGGATGGTGGGTCCAAAGCCCACATAGTACACTAATGTAATTAAATCGAATCCTGACAAGTATTTAACTTAATATGAGGAATTAGTAAGAATGCCACACCTTAGATGAAATAAAAAAGTTAAGATGTAACTTTACGAAGAACGAAGTGACGCCGGTTTAATAAACATGTTTGTGTGGGCCATCATAATTTTATTTTTAAGAAAATATTGGTTTCTACGCTTACTTATGCGATTTCATCCTACTATCTATCTCTTGTAGTTTGATTTTCCCCCCTTTCACAAAATAATTGGGCATTTACTTGTAAATAGTGTTGACATTTTTAATGACGTTTTAACTGACAAGGCGTAGTTTCGTTGTACGTGTGGGTGTATATACAAGCCAAGGCGTAGTTTTAATAAGCCTCACTTCTTTGTTCAAAGAGTACCTTAACTTTTTTATTTGATCTGAGTGCCAGACATACAACGCGGTTTAAAGGAAGGACCAAAATAACATTTTATTATATTTCTGCTAAAGCACGTCCTGCTACCAGTAAAGGAGAGAGAGTTACATATACATAACATACAATTCCACCAGCCATTTTGGAAAGTAAAGATATAAAAATTAACAGGTAAAGATATAAAAATTTAAAGGAATGAAGGTTTGAGTCTGATATCTATCTTTTTATCACTTAACACGATAAAGCAGTGAAAAGCTAGTTTACGTCTTTTATGACTCTATAGATTCATGTCGCTTTAGTTTATTTAGTTAATTTTTCTTTTTGTAAAAGTCGGTTACGTCATTCACTGTCAGTTATATTAAAGTTTTACCATTCATATCCTCAAGCTTTGTAGCCAAAAACGATTCGGTCAAATCGGTCGGTAAGTTGAGAAATGTGGCGCCGTCTGTTATCTAATTGCGTAACTAATTAAATGTTCTAGAATAAGTTAAAGCAATTCAGAATGTTCCACGACATTCTAGAAGTGTTCGTTGAGGTTTAGAGTCGGCTAATACGAGGCTCTTAGAACTTTCTACGAGATGAGGCTGAATCATAAAAGAGACATATTTTAGATTGATACAGTGCAAGAATAAATATATAAATAAATAGTATAAGCAAATAAATTACATACAATTAATGATTACATAATATTGTGCTTTCTATAATGAATTTAAACAAATTAAGTCTATTTCGTATATAAATAGATGCAATACTTTAATCTCGGGATAAGAAACTAGATGTAATTGAGTTGCTCCTATGTTCCAATCTAACTACCCAAAACTGCAATAGCTCAGTACCTGCGCTGAGTGCCTGCAGAGCTGTGACAATTTCACAATAATGAAGAGGTGAAGTCACCTCCTCCTGAGCATCTGGCTTCAACATGCAGTCAATTGACCCGTCTGCCGTTACAAGCAAAACCTGTAGATACCAAACAAATCTTTACTAAATACTGTATTAAACAGTTAATTTTATGTATTAAACCTTAGAATGGGTGTGCTAACTTAGCTAATGCTTTTTGTTGAGTTTTTAAATGACTGACCCAGCAAATGTTGTTCTACCACATACATTTTTAAATAAAACAATACAAAGTTAAAAGAAAAATGGGATCTGAGGATAGTAGAGAAATACAGCACAACTAATTCACACCTACTAAACATACAAAAACAATCATTAATATCAGTCGAGCCCTCTCGGAAGAGTATGACCACAAACACCGTGATACGAGATATTTATATATTAGATGTGATCAAAAAATTGTTTTTCTGAGAAAAACTAGGAACAAGTGTATAGAGTAGAATTCTTAATTAGAGTTTTAATAATCAGTGACAGTGTTTAAGAAGAGAACACTTAGACATATGCTTCTAAAATCTATACAAACACTTATGTATGCATAGTATTTGACTAAAATTATAAATATATATTCATCATCATCATGATGAAATATAAATAATCTTAATTATAAATAAATCTTTTTAAAACAAATATTTATCATAATAATTGCTGGGTGGTACTCAGACATTTTCCCACCATCCAAAGGTTGATTGGGAGAAAATGCCTGTGGCATTAATTTGCTTTCTGTGTGGTGACGAGTAAGAATACGGAGTATCTATTCATCCAGTGGGTGTCGCAAGAGCCGACTAAGGGAACTAACTATACAGGACAACAGCACTGAGAAGAGAACGAAAACTTGAGACAAACCCTATCCCAACCCGTCTGGCCAGCGTGGTATAGTAGGCCAAAACCTCTTTTCCAAAGAGAGGCTTATGTCCAGCAGTGGACTATTTAAGGCTGTACAATTCAGTTGTAATTTACGCATTAAGAAATAAAATAAATATATAATACTGGTATCTGTTTCAATTTATAATTTGAAGATGAATGAAAATAAAATTTACCTTTCCCAAACTCTTAGCTTTTTGAATGATAGCTTGTGAATTGTTCCAGTCCATGAGATTGCCAGTGTTGTCTACTCCAAAGTCCCAGTTGTCAAGTGTGTGGAACATGAATCGGTCATCGCTGATCATATTAGAGGGTGAATTACCCTCATAGTAAGGGTTCAATGTGTTTGCCACCCATTGCCACTGCAAACATAATTATATTTTAATATTTTTTTTTTGAGAAAGACGGTTCCAGTCATCTATTTTTTTTTCAATTAGTGTTCAATATTTTGACAAATTCTTATTTGATTTCAATGTTTGCACTTTATAAGCAATCTAAGCAGCCATATAATTTTAATGCCAAAGTAGTGAATTTAAGTTTCTAGTTATAATGAGTGAATAAAAAAAAAAAACTACAGACACCTTTTAATAAAGGCAGGTATAGACTTACATTGATAGCCTGGTGATTTGATTTCAAGTAATGGTTTAATGAAGTGATAAATGCACCCGGTGCCTCACACAGATGTAGAGAAACCATCTTTCGTTCCATCGTCGCCTCTGCCGGTATGATATTGTATGTAAATGCACATTCGTAAAACTTCGTCCAAGCTTGAGTCAAGAACTCAGGGTTTACAAGACACCTGACCTTCCATCCCACCTCCCCGGCAGGGTTCCTGCGACGTGTGTGACTACTCCATTCTTCAATATTAAAATCGTTCAATTGACTCTTATGAAAGTTCAATCGATTTTTCAATATTTCTAATTGTTTCACTTTCCATGGAGGTGCAGAGAACCAAGACTCTTTCTCCGGCAATTTCCAACTGTTACTGAACCGAAATTGAAACTTTTTATTAAACAAATTGTTCAATTCATCCTGAAAGTCGTCATTGGAAAAAAGTCTCTGTCGAGATTGAAATGAGCAACTATCAGTTTTGTGAAACATCGCTTGCTAAGAAAAATTCAAAAGCGTTCTGCTAAAATTTTTTAATATATCATTCTAAATAAAATTTAAGTCATTTTACAATACTATGTTGCATTATTTATTTTCAGAGAGGAAAACAAAATACACAACCAATCACTGACGGAAAACTGACAACTCTGAGAAAAATATAACTGACAATATTGACAAATTTTCAGTGTTCTTGGCTTTGGATTTCCAAACGAAATGTCTAGTTTAAAAACATGTGTTTGAAAAACCTTACATTCAAATGTCTCCCAATACACTACAACATATACATTTTGTTATATAAATAAAACAATACATATGTGACGGGACGTAGTTAATAATGATGCTTTCCTTTTGTGTTACAAATATTTTGATAAATAATAATAAAATATTTTGCTAAACCGGAGGTCGTGGGTTCGATTCCCACCCAAGACAAATATTGTGTGATGAACACGGTCATTTGTTCTGTGTCTGGGTGTAATTTATCTATAATATGGATGTATTTTAAAATACATAAGTATGTTTATCAGCAGTCTGGTTACCATAGTAGATGTGTAAATTTTTTTTTTTGTTAAATTTGTTCTTTATCAGCGTTCGCTGTTAGTATTTTGTGATAGTTACGAATTATTATTGTAATAATTGAGTAGTGTGGTAACAGGAGTTTAGCTAAAAAAATACATCTTTGTGTTTACGTTTTCTTTAGATGTAAATAAATATTTTCCATGTGGTGACGAATTAAGATTACAGAGTATCACCACCCCTATTCATCCTGTGGGTGTCGTAAGAGGCGAATAAGGGAGCAAACTACGCAGGACAACACCACTGCAAAGAGAAGGAAAACTTGATACAAACCCTATACCAAACACTCTGGCCAGCGTGGTATAATAGGCCAAAACCTCCTTTCTAAGGAGAGGTCTAAGTCCAGCAGTGGACTATTAAAGTCTGTTAATGTGATGTGATATATTGGATTTATTGTTTGTAAGATAATTATTTTCGAATTTAAAACCAACAAACTTTATCAGTAAGTTCATTTTGACCCATTAAGGTTAAAAAACGAACGCTTCTTTTAATAGTATCTTATTACTTATTAGCTATGATTTTAGTAAAAAATAGGGAATAAACATGTATTTTATAAAACTTTGGCCAAAAAAGCAGGAGTTATAAGTTTAATATTTACATCTGTATGTATTTTTCAATCATAGTTTCTAAACAAATGAATCGACTTTAATTTATTTTCCCCTTGATTGAGAATGTCATCATTTATGTTAAAAAATATTTTTGCTTTTGAATAGATTGATTTCGTCCTCAATTTTTTATTTAAACATGTGTCATTATGTTTTCAGAAAAATATAAGTTTTATAGAAATTAACTGCTGTAAAAAATTTGTATAGCTCCAGTCAGCAATGTGTGATTTAAAAACAAATAATCATTGAATGAACAGAAAAACCTTTTAAATATTATTATAATTACATAGTATTATTCCTATTTGCGAAATACAATAAAAAATACTTGAATTCCAATTCAAGTAGATAATGGAACCAGGTAATAAATCAATGTGAACAAAAAAAAATCAATTATACAAGCGTTGGGGATTGCACAAGTACATTACTACTGTCACATCAGGCAACCCTGACACATACAAGAAAAGGTGAACAAACTTCTTGTTGTGTTCTTCGTGTTCTTCTATTGTGAAATGAAATAAACTGAAGTTATTGATTATGTCTTCCTGTCCCAATAGCAAATAAAAATATTTATTATAATTTATTGATTTTATATCAGACAAAATTGACACATTAGCGACTAAATTGACATATATAGTAATAGACTGCATGATTTCGACTTTATGAATCCACGACTTCGGACTGTTATACCGTTAGACTGTGAACATGAGTAATTGGAACCAAGGCACGCGTAACGACGACCGTAATGACGACAAACCGCCCTACTCGAGGGTATTTGTGGTATGTAATAAACAATTGCGAGTTGAAGACTTGAGATCAGCTTTTGAATCATTTGGCTGCATAGAAGACATCCACATGCCGAAAGACCGAAGTACAGGGGAATCAAAAGGCATAGCGTACATAAAATATAGCCAAACGTCCTCAGCAGCTCTTGCTATTAAAGAAATGCACTTAAAAACGATACAAAACAGCAGCAAGCCGGTGAGAGTTATGGTAGCGACACACAAGAATGATAATCATAGCACAAATGATGAGAAGTATAAGAGACTTTTCATAAAGGTTCACAAAGAAATAACAGAGAGTGAAATAAGAGAACATTTTTCACAGTTTGGTTATGTAGACTCTGTGCACCTTCAGAAGGATAAGTTAACTGAGGAGTGCAGAGGGTTTGCTTATGTTCATTATAAAACATTTTTTGATGCAGCTAAGGCATTTGAGGGATGTGACAAAAAGTATAAAGCTATATTTGCAACTCCCAAAGATGAATTGAAAAGAACTAGAAACAGCATTGAAAATTTTGCAGATAGTTTTCATTCTAGTAACTCGAGTTTAATCAAGGACAACTATAGTGATCATTACAATCAAGCAAAAGATGATGTTAAAAGGGACAACTTAAGTTCACTAATTAAGACTAGACCTCTAGACTATGATACAATCAGTGTTACCTGCAGTCCACAAGTATCCCAGAAATGTATTCAAAGACTTTTCAACATTGTACCAGGCATGACACAATGCAAATATACATCTGACTCATATAATGGCTTATGTAAGGCTATAGTTACTTATGAAACGGAAAAAGCTGCAGCATATGCTGTTGAAAGATTAAATAACTTTGAGTTTCCTTCTGGAGAAATAGTATCAGTTAAACCGGACGATAATCCTATACACAAGGCAGCAAATAGCTTAACAAGTATTTTAGTGAACAGTTTTAAGAATGCCGGTGACTCAGGTAGTCCGGACTTACTGCAACTTGCTGACGTAATAGCCCAAGCATCTACTTTACTCAAAGCTGCCACATCGGGTCGAGAGATCAGGTCCGAGTCTCATCAGGAGAGTTACTGTAGTGTCAGTCTTCCTCCACCACAACCCCTCGCTAACAGCAATACCAGAGTGGCACAAAGATGTTTCTTAGTCTTCAAGCCTGTCCCACCACCAGTCCATATACTAAAGGATGCCTTCTGCCGTTTTGGTGATCTTATAGATGTATACACTTTCCCAAATAAAACATTTGGATTTGTTAAATATGCATCTGTAACAGCTGCTCAGGATGCCATTAGAACACTTCATGGGGCCACTTTGTATGGCAGTAAGATGAAAGTGTTGATAGCAGATGAGAAACCATCTCAAGATGACAAGGTAGATGATGAGAACAGTGTAGACCACGACTCAGACAGAAAAAGAATGAAACTGCATGACGAAGACAATATGAGTTGACAGATGATGAATAACGCAAGTTTTAACGTAAAGTACAGATCTGACTAAGTTGTTGTATTTCTTCTAAGTTAATAAAAGACAGTATTCTTTATTTATTTTTAGTTTTTTTTTAGTTTCATAAATTTATATGGCCGTGCAAGAATTTATGAATTAACTGTTCAGAGACAACATTATTTATGAGTTGACTGACTAATAATGACTGATTTATTTCTCAAATATAAAATTGATATAAATTTTTCAGCCAAAGTTACGGTTAGATGTTTATACTTCATAGATTGTTTTTTGTTATATTTTTTGTAAATGGTATAAGTAAATCTATATGAGTAATAAAAACAGAAATAAGTTGATTACAAACTCTTTAATATATGTGAAAGTGTTTACTACAAAATGCAAGGCATAGATTAGTAAGAGCCCTGCAAAAAACAAATATGTCAAGCTCAGCTTTTTATGCTGAGCTTGACATATTTGTTTTTATAATAATTTGAAAAATATGTATACCTACATTTTGTTTTTTTTACAAAATGTAGGTATACATATTTTTCAAATTCAATTATTATTTGACATAAATATCATGGTTTACCGCTCAAATTGATGGTGATGAATATATTTGGTAAATACTGTGTATAAAAAAACAACCAAGTCACAATAACTGCTTGATGTGTGTAACATCTGGAGCCCAATTGCGAGATTATTTCACATCTACTCGATCGTCTCTGTGACAGTGGCCTGCACTCTGAAATCTACACCAATCGCAACACCTAACGCTCGCTGTCGAGAGCAAGTTGTGTTACTTCCGTCCCTTTTCACGATATCACTGCCACAGATTGCAGGCAAGCGAAAGATGTTAACAACAAAAATAATAAATACCTATTATTAATTAAATGTGGCAGAAAAGCGAAAGATGTTACACAACAAAAATAATAAATTCCTATTATTAATTAACTGTGGCAGAAATGATATCAACATTTATTTCTTACATGCAGGAGATTCATCAGCTTTAATACATGCTCTTTCATCATTATTCTTCTTTTTCTTTTTTACTAAATGTATGCATGTGAGACTGCTCATAATATGGACCGTGAAGTTCTCAGTTTCTCAAGAAATCTGACAACTGCTTATGGATTCATAACTTCCATTAATTTACCAATTATCATCCTTTAATTTATCAATTATCCTCCATTAAACAAATATTGAAAAAATAGTAGGTATCATCTTCATATTATGTAGAACTGCCACAAAACCTTTACTCTCATGTAAAGTAGACATTTTTACTTACATACTATTAGAACTGCAATGACAATATTCATAATGGCTCATTTAATATTCTCACCAATAACAAGACATTTTTTTGTAGTCAGGTGTGAGAGAAAAGTTATATCTCATATCTCTTTCTCCTGATTCTGTGTCCAAAAAATCTCAATTTTGCACAGAGTTTTTACAATGGTAATAGCCATTTGAAAATGTAGTATAATCCCTATTTCATTACTTATCGTTTCATATTACCAATGCAGTTTTACAGAATATGTGTCAACCTTTAATAATAATATCCATACAGGTTAAAAAAGTACAGAAAACAAATTATATTTTTCTAATAATGTAGAAAGAAACCAGGTAATTGGAATGGTCTATAAGTAAAAGTGATTGTGTATGCTATCCTAGTAACAATTCCTTTTTTAAGTAGGAACATAGTGATACATCATCTCTTGTTACAATCATCTAAAGGCATATTGCCATCATCTTCTTTCCTAAACAAATTCTTAAAGAAGAAGAGACTCCAAACATTTCATAGGGTGTGATATAACTCAAAGCAAGTTTAAAATTTATTTGCGAATATAGGTGATACATTCACGCCCAGATATTGTGATAAATAATAGAACCTATGCCATTACAATATAGTCCAATATCAGTTTTAGTTCTTGTTTTGTAGTAAGTATGACACCTCATTGATCCCAGAGAGTAATTTGCTGATGATGCAATCATATTGCAGTGAATTGCTATCACTCGGCTGCCAGTTTTTATTGCTCTCGCTTATAGCTGTTTTAGCTTGAACCATCTGTGAAAACAGTATGAAGAGAAATTTAAAATAAGTAATATCATACTATAGAAAAATATATAAATACCAAACAATGCTTACAGTAGTAAACTTGTTGACATCGTCGCAAAGTATGGTCAATTTGCCTTCCAGTTCAATATTTCTGTTATTTAATTCATCTTTCTTGTTTATTTTTATGTTAGCAACTCGCTTACTCAGCTGATCCAAACTTTGTGCATACTGATTCAAATCTAATTTCACAAGGTCTTTAGGTCTAGGAGTATTTTCATCAGACGTTACAATATTATTTTTGAGTTCTTCGGCATACCTCTTCAAAGTAGCGATGCATACATCAATGTCAACATCCATATTGTTTTCAGTCATGTCTGGCATCAGTAATTTAGGTACGCCTGACTCCAAGAACGTTGAAACATCCTCATGTCGCAATCCGTTGTTCTCTGGCTCCGTCGGGCTATTTTCCACATGTGATACAGTGTTGTAAATAGCTTTAATTTCCATCATTATGTTTTGAGAATCGGTCAGCTCTTTGTCCAAGTCTTGAGTCATTTTTTCCAAGACATTTAACTTCACGATCGATTGTAGGTACTCCGCGAAATCGCCGGTATTCATTGCATAATGCTCACCCATTATCTTATACTTATGAGTTTAATTTTAATAACACCAAGTACAATCTTCAGTGGTACAAGTACAATCCAAAACAACTTTTGGTTGGACAATTAAAAAAACAAATCTGTCACAGTTGTAAAATCTCGCATGTCAATTGCTTCGAATTTGTCTATGATATATATATAGAGCGTATAAACAAGTTGTACTGTTTACTGAGAATTATGTTCTCCATTCTTAACCGACTTAAAAAACTTTTTTAAAACAGTCTTTGGTAGTCTTTGCTTCGATCTAAGAATCTTCCTACCTAAAAAGAATAAACCTATTTCTTCGTGCAAATTACAGTAGACAATACGCCGTGAATATTTTAATTTGATCTAGATTTCTCTACAAGATATAAATATAGTCCCAATTAGGTGAGACAATACAGACCTACATTTCTTTTTCTTTTTTAGCTAAGAGTTTAAAATAATAATCTAAATCACTGAATTTTTTTTTTTTAAATGAAAGACCTGTAAGTGATTGAATCTCATTCACTTTTATTCTCTGTGCCAAATTTGCTAAGCTCTTGTCATGTCATAATTGACAATTTAATCTACAAATCTACACGTGCGGCTAGCAGTTTGTTTATAAAAATTTGCTGACAAAAAATTATTTAAAATGGTTCGAAAATTAAAGTTTCATGAACAAAAACTTCTTAAAAAGGTAGACTTTATATCATGGAAAGTAGACAATAATCTAAATGAAGTGAAAGTGATGAAAAAATTTCATATTCAAAAACGTGAAGATTATACAAAGTAAGTTACATTTTCAGTAAAAAGAGAGTAATTTCATTGCGGTAATATTGCAAATAGTTGCTAATCAATACAAAACACCTTAGTTTAAACTTTTACTAATAATGTTACATAAAATAATATCTCCTTTATAGATACAATAAGTTGTCAAGAGAAATCCGTGATCTAGCAAATAAGATTAAAGAATTGGATGCCAGCAGCGAGTTCCGAACTGAATCTAGTGCTCAGTTATTAGAGAAACTGTATCAGATGGGTCTTATCCCAACGAGATGGGACCTAGCCTTAGCAGCTAATGTAAATGCTAGTGCCTTTTGTAGGAGGAGGCTCCCTACTGTTATGGTTAGAAGTGAGTAGATCTTATATTGTGCATATGTTTGTGTATGAAGTTTTTGTCAATGAACTCGGGGTATCCTCGGGAACATTGTTTTCTAATGGGATGAAAGATACCTTATATCATTTTCTGTACCTCTGTATTGTATGGTGGGATCAGAGGTATCCTATGTCATTGTCCATATCTACTGCACGGATGGCGTAGTGTTTTAAGCGGTCGCCACGCCGCTTCCTAATAGGCCAGGTGTTGTGGGTTCAAACCCCACGTGGGACAACACTTTGTGTGATCCACAAATTGATGTTTTGAGTCTGGGTGTTCTTTGTGTCTGTTTCACTTATGTTTGTAAAGTCCCCTGCGACACAGGATGTATTCCTAATGCTGGAGTTAAAAAAAATGTGTAGATAATTTGAATGTCTAACTATGAACAAACAAAGGCACTTTTGCATTCCATGAAACATAATTATTATGATTTATGGATTGTGAAAGCTAGCTAGCTGGATTAGATTACTTAGACAGAGAAGAGCGATATTTGATCTAGTTTATTACTGCATTAAAATAACTTGGCCGTCAACCAACCATAATGCTTTACAGCTATGTAGAACATGTTTGAGAGATTAATATTAGTTTTACTTATATATTTAATGCATGTACCCGAGTATCCTATAGTAACATGAAAAATAAAAAGAAATTTATTAATTTCCAGATAAAATGTCTGAAAACATGAAAGAAGCAACAAAGTTTATAGAGCAAGGCCATGTCCGGGTTGGACCCGAGGTTGTGAAGGACCCAGCGTTCCTTGTCAATCGTTCTCTGGAGGACTTTGTCACATGGGTTGATGGATCAGCCATTAGAAGACATGTCATGGAATATAATGATTTGGTGAGTTCTGGATTTTTTTGTACATGCATCTACACTTTTTAATGAAGCAATATTTCTGAGTGTTTAAGAACAACAACAACAAAAAGCATATATTATGTTGCTATGATAGATAATGTTGCTAAACTATTCAAAACAGTTAAGACCGTTTTCATTGCAAAGATTTAATTTGTTATTTAAATAAATGATAACAAACAATTTAATTGAGGAAAAACATCCTATGAATGGGTAAAAACAACGTTTTTTCTTAATTCAATATTGAACTGGTAACCCCTGATACTTTACAGAGTATCGAATTTACCAAATGTCAGATAACCTGCTTGTCTATTTAAAAACTTCATGAGCGGTCACTTTCCAATAGTTACTTTTTTACATTTAAACATATTGCCTTTTTAAATGCCCTTATGCACAACACATAGTACCAGATTTAACAAATTTTTGCTTATTTTTACTAAGTGACTTGTCTCCTGAGCTGCAAGTGCTCACAGGTGACGGAAGTCACTTACCATCAGGTAATCCTTGCTTGCATACCATAAAAAAATATTTAATACTTACATCTTGTTTCAGCGGGACGACTTCGAAATGTTATAGTGACCTTTTATTTATTATGAAGATTATGTAAATAAGTAATTTAAGAGTTTAAAAATCTAGTATTGTGAAATTTAAATAAAAATTTCATTGTTACAGCTCAATTGTAATTTTTATTATTAGTATGAATCATCCACACTACATACAGTGCTACATCTTTATATTATATGTCCTACAAGAATAATATCCTGTTGTGTGTAATACTGTATTGTACAGCTTAACGTTTGTGTATTCTGCGAATGGTGGAGGCTACTTACTTCTAAACACTTAGAAGGTTGCCTCACCCTGCGATATAATTCACGCCTAACCCTTTTTTTCAAATTTTGATGATTTTTGGTAAAAAAATAGAGGGTCTTTGAGAAGGATGAAAATTGTACGAGTTCACTTTTCCGAAGAAAAATAAATTTAAACAAGCATATTTATTAGGGTTTGGTTTGTCGTGGTTAAACCCTATGACCACTAGCCACATACATTTTCATTGATCTAGTTCTTTAATAAGAATATAGTAATTATGTATAACTCGGGCATCTATGCTGGCTATTATTACATTGGCAAATTAAACCTTGTGGTGCCACTGCAGACAACCCAACACTCTTTAGACTACTTGTTAAAAGCTGTGTTACTTCGATGGCTTCAATTCCTGCCAAAATGTCTGCTCTTTTTCATAGAGTAGACATAATATCTTGCTTAGACCCTCGGTGATGCAGGAATCTGTAAGCTACATTATTAGCTGATCATTGCACCTAAATAGCTAGCATATCCCCATGTCCCCGTGCCTCAAGCACGGTTGCTATCCTTAGTATAGCCTGCGCCTGGAGAGAGGCGGCCTCAGCGAGGCGCTTGAGCGCGTCGGCCTGCACCTTCGCGGCCTCCGAGTTCTTGGCGGCGACCACAGCTCGCTGCTCTTCAGCCTTCGCTCGTATTAACTCTGCATCTGCGCGCTTTTTTTCTACTTCTATCAGCCATTTTGGATACAAATCTGAAATAGTGAAATCAAAACATAGGACTAAATAAACTTAGAATAATATTTTTTAACTGGCTACACACAATTGATTCATAAATTAAAAAATAAAGCTAAACTAGTACTAGTCAATTGTTATTGCTGAATTCGCTAGACGTTTTATAAATAATAATAATATTGTATTGAAATCGTCTTTTATGTATACTCTATTATAGATCAACACACTAAAAGCAAATAGTAGATAGGTAAGCAAATATTTAACCTAAAAAAGAAACCTATGTGTGTATTATACCTACTTTGAAGGACGGGTTCGTTGGATTCATTATCGTCTACGTATTCTCCACCAGATGATTCTCCGCTGTTGCTTCTGTCATCACGATCTGTAACGCCCATTAAATTGGTATTTAGTCCTGGTGTGACTCCATTCTATTTACAGCTACACTACCGTTATTCCTGAACTCCAGAGCTTTCGTCTGGGATATGTTGTATAGTGACGTCTTCACCCGAACTGAACTAAGCTTAGTTAGAACTCTCAGTACAAGGTAGTTGTTAATATATACATATGGATACCCAGATCAATACCAACAGTACTACAATTAATCTATAATAAGACAAATATTTAAACTGAACAAGCTTGAACCAGCGACTCTGACGTAGCAGTAGAACCCATAACCGTCTCGATGACGGCTGTGGATTCAACTGCCACGTCGGAGTCGCAGGTTATTATATAAAAGGCCGCTTATTTTCCAGTGAGCTGAGTAAGTCTACAACCGTCTGTCAAGGTATTAATGTAAGCGTTTTTTTTTCTTTTAGTGTATTATTTTCTTTCTGATCATCAGAAATATCCTTTAAGAATACCACTGAGGGGAAAAATCATCGTCATCAATCGTCGGTTATTCAGTGAAGAGTATCAATAGTAATTAACCCAGTGATATTTTAAAATAGATCTTTTTTAAATACGGGCTTTTGTTAATATGGTAGCTGGTGCAGCTTAGATTGGGATGGTTCCTGTGCAAACCGCACATTTCCTAGCCTTGTTACTTATGCATGATAAAAGAAAGTAACAATTGACTGACCTGATAATCTATCGCTAGATTCACTTTGAGTTTTATTGTAGTCACTTGTCACTATCTCTTGGAATGTTTCCAGTTTTACTTCAGGCGGCAATGGATCCTGTAATATTAATAACAAAAATGTAATTTTTCATCATCATCAACAACCTTTACCAGTCCCTTGCTTGATATAGACCTCTCCTTAGCAAGGAGGTTTGGGCCTACTAAACCACACTGGCCAGATGGGTTAGTATAGGGTTTGTTTCAAGTCTTATAGGTGAAAGTGTTAACACCTAAGTAATTATTTACGTACATAAGCTGAAGATTAGCACTCAAAATTGGCACCAACTAAACTACTTAATAAATAGGTAATAAAAATGACTGCACTTATCTCTTACACGGCAGTCTGATCTCAAACTAGGCAGAGCTTGTGCTATGGTAACCAGACTGCTATTAGTTAACATACTTAAATATGCATATTATAGATAAATTACACAGAATAAATGCTCATCACACAATTATTTGTCCTGGGTGGGCATCAAACCCTTTACTCTAGGCTCACTAACCAGTTTCCTGCAATCTGTGGAAGTGATATCGTTAAAAGGGATGAACCTTTGTAATAGGAAGCCAGATGGTAGGAAATTAGAATGATGCATGTTACACATCATACGCAACTACTCGTTTTGTATCAAATGATTACAGAAAGTATAGTGACTGCGAAATCAGTGAACAGTTTTAAGTGACAACTTGATAAAATTGGAAAAGCACAACCCAGCAGACTGAACAACCAGTTGGTCATATACACACGAGTATTTACACTACAAACTTACTCCAGAGCAGTGATGTGGACACATCAGCAAGCTTACTGCTAGTCCATAATACCATAATAATAATAATAAATTAATTATTAATTTTATTGATCAAGTTATATCTCACCTTCTTTATATGGATGATTTGAAACTGTTAGCCTCCAACAAATTACAATTGACAAAGTTACTAAAGGTGACGGAAAACTTTAGTAATTCTATCAAAATGGAATTTGGTGTAGAGAAGTGTGCAGTCATGTATGTAAAGAAGGGTGTGATAGTTGAATCTGAAGGAATAGAGCTTTCAGATTCAACAAAACTCAGATCTCTGTCTGCCACTGAAACTTACAAGTATCTGGGTATATCACAGTCGTTGGGAATACCAGAATCTAACATGAAACAAACGTTGCAGGAACGTTTTTTTGGCCGCTTGAAAAAAGTACTTAAAAGTCTTTTATCAGGGGGCAACAAGGTGCGAGCCTGCAATGGTCGGGTCATGCCGGTTCTGATGTATTCCTTTGGTATACTTAGATGGACTCAGACCGAATTAGATGCCCTTGACAGGAAAGTCCGTACACTGCTGACTGCATCCCGAATGCACCACCCACGTTCATCAGTTATGAGATTGTATATCCCGCGAAAGCTTGGGGGTCGCGGACTATTAAATATCAAGACCCTACATAATCGCGAGATATGCAATCTCAGAGAATATTTTCTACATACCGACGTGGGAGTGCATCGCAATGTAGTTGCAGTGGATACCGGCTTCACCCCGCTTGCTCTGGCTAAAGAGAATTGGCGCAGACCTGTAGTACTTAGTGTTAATGATCTCAGGGAAGTATGGAAGGGCAAAGAGCTCCATGGTCGGTTTTATCGGGCCCTAAACGGGTCTGATATAGATTTAAAAGCATCTACGACTTGGCTACGGTATGGTGATCTCTTCGGAGAAACTGAAGGTTTTGTTTGTGCGATTATGGACGAAGTTATCATGACGAATAACTATCGGAAATATATCCTGAAAGATGGTACGGTTGACATCTGTCGGGCATGCCACCGTCCTGGCGAATCAATCAGGCATATTATTTCTGGTTGTTCTCGTCTTGCTAACGGAGAATATTTGCACAGGCACAACCAAGTAGCCAGGATCGTACACCAACAGCTTGCCCTTAAATACCATCTTGTGAATCTAGAGGTGCCATACTACAGGTATGTGCCCGACCCAGTTCTCGAGAATGGTCGGGCCACGTTGTATTGGGATTGATCTATTATCACAGACAGGACTATTGTTGCCAATAAGCCTGATATTGTGCTGATAGATCGATTAGAGCGCCGCGCAATGATTGTTGATATCGCCGTTCCTCATGACGAGATTTTTATCTCGTGAAAGTTGAAAAAGAAAAACAAATTAAATATTTGGATTTATCTCACGAGATTGTCGATATGTGGAATGTTGATTCAGTGATCATTGTTCCGATAGTCGTATCTGCTCACGGATTGATAGCCAAGAGCCTCGACCAACACCTTAAGAGGCTCACGTTGGACGGCTGGATCAAGGGTCTGATGCAGAAGGCAGTCCTCCTTGACACGGCTCGTATAGTGAGGAGGTTCCTATCTTTGGAGTCCTAACCACCGGTGTCTTGGTCCCTGTACCCGATGTCGGTGGTCTACTATTTTTTATATTTTTAAATGTATTTTTTATAATTTTTTATAAAGTGTATGTTTAAAAATGTAAATAATATGTATATAAAGTGAATAAAGAGAATAATAAATTTACAGGGACATTTATTGTCCAGGAATTTTCTTTCTAGGGTACACTAGGTTCCCCGGCAACCGGTACAAGAAACGGCGTGCTGTTTTTGATGGGTTTGAGTCCGACATAACCACTCCGGTGGGTCTTATCCAAAGAGATTTCCGCAAAGAAAAAAATATTGTATGGAGTTAATATTCCTAACAGTGTGTCAGTAAATGGACTAACCTGGTTTGTTTCTGTAAACACTTCTCTGGGCTTCTTTTTATCAAAATAAGGTCCTAATATAACTAATGCCCTTTTCTCTAATTTAGTTAGAGGTCTAATGCCCTTCAACGAACTCCCCGACTTCTTTCTTTTTAATAGCCATGCTTTGTTCTTTAGTTTGTTCTTAAAGTCACTCCAATACTGAAGAAAAGAAATAATAAACATAATTAAACACTTAAAGTCACTACAGTATTCTAGTAGACATGCAAGTATGCTTTGTTGGTGAAAAAATTAGGGTCATTCAAATTTTTTTAAATAGAGGGGATGACTTATGGTTTATCGGCTTACACTTCTAAATAATTTCAGAAATGCGGGCCAAACGCACAAAGTTGTATTGTCCATCTCCAGGAATCATTGTCAAACCATTATTTTTTAGAAGTAGGAAAATAGATTTTTAGTCTTTTGTTTGTTTGTGATATAGTTTGTTAATTACAAATAAAGCTAATAAACACATATTTAAAACACTTAGGTACAAGGTACTTAAGACCAAATAGAATTGCAAAATTGAAGTATCAAACCTGGAGTTATTATTAAACTAGAACAGGTAATGTTCATTGAACAAATTACTTATTTTACCTTACTCCAACCATCAGAAGTTTTCTGAGTACCACCTCTACAACTGTTCAAGACCTTGGTCAGTTCACTCCATAGTCTTTTGGAAGTATGTCTTGCTTCTAAAGAGCGGAGGTTGCCAGAAGCAAACTCTACATGCTGGCCCATGAAGTCTATTATAGATTTTACTTGTTCGTATGATACGTGCCGGGCGTGCTCGCTGGTGTCGGTCATCGTAAAGTTACTGAAAATGAATAACGACACTGAAAATGAATTATGTATTTTATAATTTGAGAAAAGAACAGTTCATCATCATCAATCATCATCAACAGCCTTTAACAGTCCACTGCTGGACATAGGCCTCTCCTTAGAAAGAACAGTTAATAGGCTGATAGTCTTATATAATCGACTTTAACGAATATAGAAGACTCATTTTCAGATAATAATATAAACTACCTTCAATTAACAAAAGTTCATTACAGTTTTGTAAATGTGTCGATTAGAGACATTATTTTTTTATTTTCTTCATCACAATCAAAACAACAACAAAGATTTGTCAAATAAGCACTTTGACCACAGACTATGACAGCCTTTGATAGTCATATTCATTCAGTGACCAGTGACAAGCAAGCATTCTAGGAAAGGACGTTAAAAGGAGTATTTTGTCCATGGTCTTGGAATATTTTTTTTCGATAAATTTTTTTTTTGTCAGTGGACCACCGCCAATTTTAGTGTAACCAAAATCAAAAATAAATAATTTAATAATGGCAACAGTGTTAATGTCTTGCGCGGCGAGTGTGCGCAGAAAAATAAAAAAAAATATTAGGAAAAGAAATGGCAGTTACTAGAGAGAAAGAAAATTGTTCAAGAAAAATTAATGGAAATATACCTGCATTATCCCTCAATAGCGACAATATGTCGACGTCCACTGATAGTGACGACGTAGCGGACCCAACATACGAAATTAGGAACATTCAAAGTATCATAAACGTAACCCGTGAAAATATTGACGCACTGAATGCAAAATTTGCTGGTTTCCAACATCCTCCGTCACTGTATCTTTCGGAGTACCAAGAGTTGACGTCGAAGTTGCATAACTTAGAGCTTAGGGAGCGTAATCTAAGGGAATTACTGCAGTCTGAGTCGCCGGACAGAAGCGAGGAGTACTCACTGCAGGATGACTCTAAAAAGTTCGACACGTTAACGCGGCAGCCGAAGGTGTTCTTGCGGGCACACCTTCCGAACCAGCAGCGGACGAGCGTGCAAGTGAAGGAGGGTGTGACCCTGCGGGACTCGTTGTCAAAGGCGCTGAAGCTGCGCAACCTGACGTGGGAGATGTGTGAAGTGGTGCGGACAGGCAATAATCTAGTGATACCGTGGGACATTGATATAACCGTGATCGACGCCGAGGAGGTCAGTGCAGTGTTTGTTTTGTTTTCCTTATGCTGGTAAGCTTGACATGTGTCATCTGTTTTTAAAAAAGGTATGTTTTGCCTGTTGATGTTTTGCCCGTCAGAGGCTCCTGAATCTTCTTGAAATAGGTACACCCTGGTTGGTGATAGTAAACAAGATTGTTTTACTATTAGTTAATAGTTGCAGATGAGATAATCCTATTACTTAAGATAATTTGAGGGGTATTAGTTTTAGTAGAAATTAAAAGTGCGGTCAATAGTAATCTATAGTTTTCTGAACTCAGCGGCAAGTGTTGAGGAGCTCATTGAACAAGGCCGTGAGAATCTGTAAAGTGATTTCTGAAGGGATAGTAATCCATCAATATAATAATAATAATAACAACTTCACACAACTCACACACGGCAGTCTGATCCCACTAGGCAGAGCCTGTGCTATGGTAACCAACCTGTATGTTGGTTATCTCAGTAAACAGTAGCTTTTTATGGGTGAAATAATTTTTTAAATCTGTTTAGTGGTAGTTTTACGTTTGTAAAACAAGTATGGAATATAGATAAATTACACCCAACCAGGGTAGAGAACAGAATTGATTGTGTTCATCATATATTACTTGTTTGGATGGGAATCAAACTCACAACTTTTTGCTTAGTTGTCAGAATTGTAGTCAGGAGAAACTATCTTATCTAATTATTGATATCACTAAAGCAACTGATTCTAAACTTTTAATTATTGTATATTTTAAAATTATATGTTTCATAATGCAATTTTATAAATGCAAAAGTGTGTCAGTCTGTTTGTTACCTCTTCATGCCAAAACCACTAAACTGATTTAGATTAAATTTTGTACAGAGATAGTTTGAGTCCGGGGAAAAGACATAGGTTAGTTTTTATAGCAGTAAACATTATTTAAGGGGGTGAAAAGGCAGGTGGAAGTTTGTATCACCGTAATCATTGATCAATTGAACTGATTTAGATGACATTTTCTATGAACATATTTTGATTCTTGAGGAAAGACAGGCCACTTTTTACCGCGATAACCGATATTTACGTGGCTGTTAAATAAAATATACTGACTAAGTTGTATCAAGTTACTAATAATATTGATTTTTTCAGAATAGGGTTTAGCATTGAAGTTCTCTCTTCATTCACTATGAAGTAGTGACATCTGTAATGTTTCTAATAATAATAAAAGTAGCAATATTTATCATGATGAAAGGATTAGTTAAAGTCACAGCGATTTCACATGTGATTGTGATTTTGTTATAGAGAAATATGAATGCCATTAAAATTAATCAAAATTCTTTTTATCAAAGATTCCGAGAGTCTCGCGCTAGCGTAAAAATAATCACAGTTGTTTTGTGAATTAGTCACAGGTGTGATTTTATAACTCATTCCAACTAGGGATTTTATTCCATCCTTAGTTAAAATATGAATAAGTTCAAAAATATATAAGTATGTTTATCAGCAGTCTGGTTATCATACCACAGGCTCTGCCTAGTTTGGGATCAAATATAATATAATAATATAATAATAATATTGTACCACATACACACAACGCCATCTAGTCCCAAACTAAGCAGAGCTTGTACTATGGGTACTACACAACTGATATAAATACATATATACTTTTTTTTTGTAAATACATACATATTATACATAGAAACACCCAGACCAAATCAAACATCAAATGTTCATGCACACAAATGTTTGACTTAAGCGGGAATCGAACCCGCACCCTTTGGAATAGCAGTCTGTTACACAAACCACTACACCATCCAGTCGTCAAAATGGCTGTGAAGTTTTTATTATTATTATTACCTGTAATTATATATTATATAAACTAGGCACCAAGCACTGGTTTACAGTGGTAACTAGTATAGTTCAAAATGTTATTAGGATAACACACACAATCCTACTCTATGCCACATACTGTTAGTCAAGTGTTGTTGGACTGTCTGACATGTACATGTAATGCCTAGACCCAGTAAAACCTTTTAAATTAAATCATTACTGAACTATTAATAATTAAAATTTATAATTACATTAAATGGCTGCGCCACAGTATCGTTAGCCCCACAACTTTTGGCATTTGAAATGCAATAGGTATTTTATGACATATTTGAGTTTGGTATGTTATAAGCCAAGAGATAATTTCTGCAGATGGACTTATTATCTATCGTTAGCGCGTTGATTCCCGTATACATAATTATAGTTGTAATTTAAAATTTAGGACCTGTTTTATAAACAGATGCATTTATTCAATCAAATATTAACATAAGACGGTATTCAATCAAATATTAACATAAGACGGTTTTAACAAAATTGATAATTTGCGAGCAATACTTCTGGTTTTATTAAGAAATAGATTTTGCCCGCGGCTCCGCCCACGTTTATGTCCAAAAGTAGACTATATTCCTCGCTGATAATGTAGCTTTCCTTGGTGAAAGAATTTAAAAAATCTATATATATATACTCACTTTTACACAATATAAGTATGGATTAAGAACCAGTATGTTTAGAAAAACCCTGCTCTAGGGGAGTTAAATACTAACGCCATCAACTCTCGCAAGAGTCAACGGTCATCTGCAACAAACCAAGTGCCTCTATCATCCAGTTCCAAGGACCCTTTGTCCATCTATACCTCGGCCCATTTTTGGAGATAAATTTCTCACGGGAAGCCTTAAAGTCAGTTGGAGTCGGTTAAATCTGCAGAATGTTTTCAACCCACCAACTATCGACGGATGAAACCTTAACTGAGGAGAGGTCTCGTTTCCTGTTTTCTAAGTTTCTGCCCACAGAAGTGTCCGAGCCTTGAGAATGGTTTCTTCTAAGATCACTTAATACCGGGACACTCCTCTCGCCACCACAAAACCATAGGATTCTGTTTTACATGTCGCCGATGACATTGGCGCGTATTAGCAATTCACAAAACCGCGTATTAATATTTTCTAAACTTTACCGAGGATAAAATAATTAATAACCTTGGTTAAGAGGATACATTATTTCGACTTTACTTGTTTGCGATTCCATAAAAATTTACTATTATGTCTATTACAAATATCTTAATTAGCAACTTTCGTAAACCCGCGGTATTGCAAAATATTTACGCGTTCTTGCAGTCTCATCGACAATATGTTTTTCGACTTTTCTAGTGCTTCTGTCTTATATCCGACAATGTCAAGAATCTTTGCTTATAGTACTCAGGGCCGTTTCTTCGTTGCACCTTCTGTGAATCATAATAACACATAGAAATAAAGTGGTCTGAAGTTTGGGCCATCCAAAGTTGGCTTGAAGCAGCTATGTCAATTCAAAAACTGTCGTATCAAAACAAATTGAATAGAGATGTCAACACTTCTGTCGCCCCAGGTACTCTTCGAGGTTTACTGGCATAGCACTTCTATAAACTTTACCTGGTTTACATTCATACTAATATCCATACTAAAATTATAAATTCGAAAGTGTGTCTGTCTGTCTTTCTGTCTGTCTGTCTGTCTGTTATCTCTTCACGCTTAAACCGTTGAATCGATTTAGATGAAATTTGGTACAGAGAACGTCCGAGTCCGGAGAAAGAACATAGGGTAGTTTTTATCCCATAAATCATCATTTAAGGAGGTGAAAAGGGGGGGAGGAAGTTTGTATGAGGAATCAATAACAGCTGAACCGATTTAGATGGTATTTGGTACGAACATACTTTGTTTCTTGAGGAAAGTACTTTTACCGCGATAACCAACATTTACGCTGGCGGAGCCGCGTCTAAATAACCAATCCTAATAACTAATTACTGCATTACTACATCCTGGGTTCTGTACAAACAAACGGACACAAGGAACACCCAGACTCAGAACGACAATTTGTGGATCAAACAAAGTGTCGTCCCATGTGGGATCGAAACCATAACACAGCGTAGTAGGAAGCAGCGTGGCAACCGCTTAAACCACTACGCCATCCGTGCAGCCAAGAATTGACAATATTAAACAAATTAGCTTATATACTATCTACTTCAAGACACCCTTCTCCCCATAGATTATACCATTAATATATCATCATCATCATCATCATCATCAACAGCCTATACTAGTCCACTGCTGGACATAGGCCTCTCCTTAGAAAGGAGGTTTATATATAAGTAAAATAAAATAAGTAATCAATCTCCAACAGCTGCAATTCAACATATTAATTTCATGAAGTTATTAAACTGAGTCCATCCCCATCATGTGGATATTTGGCATCCCCTACTGTATTTTTTTCAAGAAATTTTAGTCCTCGCACATCCAATTTGTGGATAGAATTATCGCCAATGGTATTTCCCGACCGATACGACATCCAAACCCGTAAGAGTGTACACTCTTTTGTGCAGCTGGATATGCATTTGTGACTCTACGTTTCTACCGTCATATGTCTGCTGGTTTGAGCCTTAAATCATAAAAAAATCAGGTTCTTTGCCGCGTTATTAGTTAAATGGCTTGTTGTACAAACAAGTCACATTCCTTCGTCTCAAAAATCTCATAAAATAGTTGTTAAATGATTATAACGTAACTTAACTCATCACCTTGTCCAAGAAATGTTCAATACCGCTAAGTAACGGTATCGAGACTAGAGCATAGGCTAGCGTTAAATTTTCGTAATACCGGTAGTAATGTAATAATAAAATTCTAAATAACGGTATTCCCCAGCTCGTGCTATTATAAATGCTCTAATGAATGTGGAACAATATCTAAGAAATGAACGTTTACTTAACGTATTAGAGAAAAGAGTAGTCATTTAAGGTCGGTATGTATTGGCGTGTAGTCCGTGTAGTGACGGATTAAGAATCCACGAAGAATCCAAGAAGTCCACGGTGTGGCCATCGCAGTGGTGGCACTCAGGCGTTGGCTTCTTGCGGATCAGACACAGGTGATCCCCGAAACATCCTTTCCCAGTGATCACCTGCGTCAGTCGGTATGAGAGAGTCCCGTGACGCCTCTCGAGCCAATCCTCCATAACGGGTGGAAACCCCTACGGGTCATCACCTCACGGGGTTTACGGTGAAGTGGTATGTCGGAATCGAACCTACTAAAACCACACGGTGTTTACATCTTCCCCCGAGCCTTTTCAGAAACTAGGTTGGGGTCGATTTTTAAGTATACTACGATACGGCTGAACTTCGATTTTTACGCGGAGCCACAGTCATCAGACGTCAACAACCCAAGTACAAGTTCCGTCACATGATAATATTCCGTAATTCATTTAAATAATTAAATATTTTAGTACTACTACATACACATAATGAATTAAATTCTGCAGAAGCACAATGATGCAGGAAAAAGTCATGAAAATATATCTCACACATCTCACACACGGCCGTCTAATCCCAAACTAGGTAGAGCCTGTACTATGGTAACCAGACTGCTGATAAACACACTTATATATTTTTAAATAGATAGATGTTATAGATAAATTACACCCAGACACAGAACAAATGACCGTGCTCATCACACAATATTTGTCCTGGGTGGTAATCGAACCCACGAACTCCGGTTTAGCAGTCAGGGTCACTAACCACTAGACCAACAGGCCCGTCAAATATTTTAGTGATTAGTGTGTTCGACTATTAAGATATATATAATAAGAGAATACCAAAAAAATGTAAAATATTAAGAACATTATGCTAATAGAAAACCATTAAAGTTACTTATTGTAATCAAAATCTTTTAAATTTAAATACGTACAATTTTTTTTCGACACGAAACGTTTATCGGTATATTATTTTACAATTTTCAATAACATTTATTTAAGAATTACTAGCTGAGCCGGCAAACGTAGTTTTGCCAAAAAAAAAATTTAGGGATGGGTCACCCTTACCATTTAGGGGTATGAAAAATAGATGTTGGCCGATTCTCAGACCTACCCGATGTGCACACAAAATTTCATGAGAATCGGTCAAGCCGTTTCGGATGAGTACGGGAACGAACATTGTGACACGAGAATTTTATATATAAGATTTTGGATTGACAAACAAACAAATACGACAAACAAATAATGAATATATTAGAGTTCTATATTTGTTTAAAGAAATATATATAAAAAATATATACTCGTATATACAGCCTATTACTTAGACGACTGTGCGGGCGGCGATGACAAATTTGGAATACAATATTAAAGTACGCAGGTTCATTCATTCATTCCCAATGAATATGTCTATTTATATTAATATTGTACCCAGGTAGTCAAATATTGCTCTCTGTGTTTATCGAACAATAATGAATATTGTATACACACACGCATTAGGGTGAATTTCCGTGCGTTTAGGCGATTCTGCCATACATATTATAGAAATCAAACAATTAGCCCACGTCGTATGCCCGCAGGGGTAAGACACTTTATTTTCACATCAACAGCCTTTAACAGTCCACTGCTGGACATAAGCCTCTCCTTAGAAAGGAGGTTTTGGCCTACTATACCACGCTGGCCAGACGGGTTGGTATAGGGTTTGTATCAAGTTTTCGTTCTCTTTGCAATGCTGTGTAGTTTTTTTCCCTTAGTCGGCTCTCACGACACCCACGGGATGAATAGGGGTGGTGACACTCTGTATTCTTAATCCGTCACCACACGGAACCTTTATTTTATACGTCCACTATTTGCAAACTAAAATTTGGTTTCTCTCATTCCTCAGTGTATATTGAAAGGGAAAGATATTGCTTAAGCGGTGAGATTAGGGACTGGAAGAAGCCGTAGCCAGGGTAGGTCAGTGTTTTTCCCCAGCTATTAGTACCCGAGACGGCGTGCGGTTTTAGTCGGTTCGAGTCCGACATGCCACCGACAGGTGGTATCCGAGGGGATTTCCGCACGAAAAAAAACAAAAAAAAAGGGTAGGTCAGTGTCGAGTAGGTGTACCTGTATCTTGAACGAACTTTTGCCAGCAAAATTTTTGTCCCAAAGTCCATGATACAATCCATTTTTAGTTTGCATCTAGATAGAGATAGTTTGCGCTAGATAGAGCGAGACATTCCACAATGTCTCAGAATGTATATATTAATACGCGAAGAGAAAATTCTTCTTATTAAACCTTTTAAAGTAAATTTGCGGGAACAGAGGAATTAGTAAGAAATACTAAAAGTTCATATGTCGAAGAATGAAATTAAAATTATAAACATATGCCAAAAACCACGTGTAATCGCATCTGTTGATCTGTTATGGTATAAAATGTATATTCAATGATATTTCAAGTAATAAAACTGGTTATGAAATAAAATAAAAACTACGAAAAGTGGTCTAAGTTGGACTACCAGACGAACTCAATATTCAAAAATCAAACACATCACATTTCCACTTAAGAAATACCCTGTGCTAAATTAATCCCAAGCATTTTGTCTTCTATGTAACCCACAATTGATGATTTAAATTTGTTAATGTCTGTTTTGATAAAATCCCAAATATTATTCAAGACAACTTGAATATTATTTGGGATTTTATTATAAAATCGGACACATTAACCTCGAAACGACTTGTTTTCCTTTTGGAGCCTAGAGGCAGGTACTACAAGTTTATTTCTATTTTTGGTATTTATAGAATGTACATAACTTCTTTTCGAAAAGCTATCCTTAGTTTTATGAACATATACTCGTATTCATCAACAGCCTTTAATAATCCACTGCTGGACATAAGCCTCTCCTTAGAAGCTCGTAGCCCGGAGATTCTTCGCACCCCCTGCCCCGCCTTTACCGTGGTCGCCACCATGACCAGGAATAGCGGGGCCGCCGGGAACTGGGGGCCGTGGCCTTTGTTGCGTCTGCATGGGAGGGGTTTGCCCATAATCGCCACGCTGGGCAGGCGGGTTGGTATACTCGTATTAAATTTTCATAAATATATATATGTTTTTTTTGTGTTCCAATGTGCAGGTAACAGTCCGGACCCTGGACAAGCTGCCGATAATGTCACACATTTCCCATCAGTTCACACGAAAAACCTTCTTCACATTGGCGTTCTGCGAATGCTGCCGGCGACTTCTCTTCAACGGCTTCTACTGCTCACAGTGTAATTTCAAATTCCATCAGCGGTGCGCTGATAAAGTGCCCAGTATTTGTCACCAGGTACGTTTTACTAATGCAATCTTCTATTTTTGGTATTTCCGGGTGACCATAGTCTTCCATTGAAAAGGAAGAATATAGGGAAAGGAAAAGCAGGTGTACCCAAATTTTAACAGATTCGGTGATTAACTAGCATTACTAGTAGACATAAATGAAGTAGGATCGAAGAACTCCAAGTCAACGTATGTGCGCTACCATGGGTTATTTGCTACTATTTATAGACTTTGATAACCGCTGACCATCAGGAGGTTTTGTACTTTTTAGCCGATTTTACACATACCTAAGTCATTGGTAAATTTATCTGCGTAGAGAATAGTAAAAACACTTTTTAATTTTTTATTGACGACCCTTTATAGGTCGCTGATAGCTACTAAAAATGAAAAAAAAACGTACATTATTTGACTAAATTGAAGAGTAAGATTTTAAACTCTTACGTCTGTCTATTTACATAAAATTATTAAAATTAGATTACCATCGAAAATATTCATTATTTAAAATCTGAAATATTTTCCAAACAGGTCCGCATGACAGATTCCTACTACGCAGCTCTGCTGGCGCAGAACCCGGAGACGCAAGCTGGCATCCTGCACTTCCCGCCACACTTTGGGTACCACAACATGTACTCCCGGACTGATCAGAACAAGTACTGGCTTGTTCTCACGAGTCCCTTTATACCCCAACTGCGAGAATCTGTCGCGTATTTTAAAGAAAGTTAAAAGCTGGTCTCTTTGTGCCTCTGGACAGATATTGCAGCTAGTGACATATGTTTGTCACTAGATAGCTGGATATGGCTTCAGCAATTTTTCGAACCCAGGATTTTGCCAAAACGTGATATTTTCAGCAAAACATTCGAAAGCTCCTATTTACCTTTATATATATATATCGGAGCTGGTAGCTAAAATGCTCCACAATCTAAAATCTTGCGATTTTAATGACTACCACAATCTATCACTTAAGACGTTGCTAAATATAGCGATTCTGATGCGAATTCTCGAAGGTAGAATTCAACTCAAAAGCAACCAAATTCTGTATTGATTTAATCTCAAAATCGTTGTTTGTTGATTCTTAAAGTATCCCATAGAATCTATTAGAATCTTTGAGAAACAAAATCTCAAAATTAATTTATTCAATCTACCATGTCTGGTCCTAAATTGGGCACAGCCTGTAATACTTACCTGAGTAACAAACTACTTATAAATTTCTAATATTAATAAATTCCACCCAGACACGGAATAAACCAGAAAGGTGAAGGCGTGACAATAGACCTATATTTTATTTTAAAGTTTATATAAATTATAAGGAGAGGCGACTGATTCTCTTAGTTGAATAATAACTAAAACCGGCTCTTCGCTTCCAGTTTTTCCTGATGATTGCTATTCTGATGTCAAATAGGTAACTAGTTAAAAAAAGGAGAAAATTGACTATGATTATGATCGTTGCAGACGAGGGATGTTAATAGCGAGTAATAATAAAAAAAAATACACGAAATTTTTCGAGCGAAGGTTGTTTGATACTTTCAATCATGACAGAGCGTCTAAACGGATCTGGGTGAAGTTTGGCACAGAGATAGAATTTAGTCTGGAAGAGTAGGTCAGATACATTTTTCTCGGTAAAATTTATTGAAAAAAAATATAACAAATCTAGCTCTGTATATTTTAAGTGTACTGTACTGTAAATTACTTAACTTACAGTGATATTTAACATCTTGGCAAGTACAACTTAACACTAACAATTATGTATAAAGGTTATTTTGAAGTTTCTTATTTGTACAAATAAAAAAAGAGAACTAAACATGACATTTTTACATCAGTACAAATTAGATCACTAATATAATGAGGGTAGTAGGAGTTTATTTTTATAAAACTACTGTGATGTGCAGGTCTATCTCCCCCGCGAAGAAAATGAAGGAATTCGATGTTCACTGGTGAATACCAATCATAGTTTGGCACTGCTTGCTACTTTCCATCACACATGTGTGCTTTAACCTATAGTCCATACATTCAAGTTAAGAAAGTAGTAAAAAAGACGCATCCATCAAGCCAAACTGCCTCAGTTTCCATGAAATTATCATTGCGTAGGAATTCTTGAAACCTGATTGGTCAGAGGGCGGGGCTTGATAGATACGTCACTATTTTCTTAATGCGAATGGACTTTAATTAGTGGCATAGCTGCACTATAGATTTATTACACATTTAAAATAAATATTGCAAGAATATAACCCATGTGAAACCTATTCCAAAAATATGTATTCAAAAAAATTCTTTACTTAGAAAAATGTGTTTCTACTACGACAAATAAGTTCCCCCGCGCATCCCTTTTACATTGCTTGTGCTATGGTTTTTTTATATCTTGATTAGTAACAGTGATGTGCCGGATATTTATATATATATCCGCTGATATCCGACGATGAAAGTAAGTCTGTATTCGTTTCACTATCCGTCACTTTTTGGCGGATTATGAATGGATGTATTGCTATACGTGCATTGCAAGTCAAAAAACCGGTATTCAGCAATTATTTCCTTTTCACCTGAGTGAGGTTACTAGAGCCCAAACCTTCTCTTCAACTGACCCTAGGGGGAGGGACTCATAGGGCGTCGCACTTGTGAGTTTTCAGTTGCGAGTGTCCAACTGCGGCGGTGGTTACTTACCATCAGGTGACCCAACTGCTTGTCTGCACCCTTATAACTTAAAAAAAAAAGAAACAGGTCAAGTTATTTACCCGTCAACGTCAATTGTCGTTTAAGAGCTACGCGAATTGTCATTAACTGAGAAAGAAACTGCAAAGAGGAGGGAAACTTGACACAAATCCTATACCAACTCGTCTGGCCAGCATTAGACTTTTAAAAGCTGATGAATGTGTGATGTGAGAAAGAAACTAGAAGTCCGTACCCCGTATTCTCGGATCTAGACAATAATAATCCGTTCTCCTATTTTTATTCATCGACACCCTATTTGTATTAACGGATATAATTTTTTAACGATCCGGCACACCACTAGTAGTAATAGTAACAACACAAGAACTGATACCTACCTAATCTTCTCCAGTAACTAATTTAATATGTACATAATGTATAGAATTTTTTGACGCGTGACAAAAATTGTCAGGGGTAACAAAATATTATATAGAATAATTCAATTTAAGACATACGCCAAAAGATTCTTGTTTGCGTTATAGTTTGGGTTTGATTTTATTTAATTTAACTTATATAAAAGTACTTTAGAAATATTCTAACTGTGAGTTTTGAAACTTTTATTACAAAACCAAGATTTAAAAGATAACATTTCATAACATTTTGTTTTTCATTTAATATGACATCCATTTATATTTGAGATTTTTCCAATACTAAGTTTTTGCAGAACAGCTATACACTCCTTAGTGTCACTATATAAGTTAATTTTACTGTAGTATTATACTCTAAGGGCCACCGACCACTGAGCACTTGTGATTAAGAGGCCGGTAGTTTAATCGTAAAATTTAAAATCGATTCAGACCATCGAACAACTAACAAATTTGCCTACTGTGTGTAAAGTAAGATACAAGCGCACGCGCAGCATTCAATTAAAATAGCGGGGAAATCCCCAGGACGATCATATAGAACGCAATTTTTAATAATAATAATAATTTTTAATTCTATTTGCAAATTTGAATGTCCTCTTTTTGATTTCTATAGATCTACTTTAGAGCTTTTTAATTAGTCATTCAGTAGTAAAACAATAATTTATTAGTCTTTTAGAACTTTTCCTTTTATTCGTAATTTAACTCTCTTTTCAATATATATATTATATTAATGAATTGCGGGTAGATAGATAAACTTGAAAAGCAAAAAAACATCTAAATATAAAATTTAATCGTCAGCCGTAATTGGATAAATATATATAAAGTGATAGTTTGTGACGTAATAATTGCTGTGTTATTCAGGCAACAACACCCGCGGTCGTTGAACCAGCAGGACAGATCGAGTTCTGCGCCCAACGTGTGCATCAACATGGTACAGAAATCCATAACACTAGCCGAACATCAGAAGAAGCATAACCAGGTACCTTGTCTGCTTATATCACTTTTAGACAATCATAGAAAAATAGGTTTTCAATTCTGTAGTTTTTTTTTAAGTTTGTTACTTCATGTTACTTCAAAGCTATGTTGTTGTGTTTCTACCAGCCTATTTAGTTTTTTTTTTTTTGGTAAGGTGTACTAGACGTTTGGTCTCATTCATTCCCTAAGGGTGGGAAATTAAGGTATGAAGAATACTACTTACTGCCTACATTTGGGGTGATTGCTATCTGAGGATTACAAGATCGCCTATAATCTTATGATGGAATGTGATACTCCTAGTGGCCCAGTTAATTATAGTATGGAGTTTTTTCTAAATACAAATTGCACCTTGTAACTTGCGCCATTAGCAGGCTTGAAGCTTTAAATTTCCCTATAGTATATTAGCCTGTTTCCAGTTTTATTTTTTAAAACTTCCGCATTAGGAATATATTCTGTGTCGCGGGGGACTTTACAAACATACATGAAACTGACACAAAGCACACCCAGACTCAGAACAACAATTTGTGGATCACACAAAGTGTCGTCCCATGTGGGGTTTGAACCCACAACACTCGGCGTAGTAGGGACCGCTCCCTGGCGTGGCGACCCCTTAAACCACTAATTCATCCGTGCAGTCAAATTAGAATTGTCGGTCCATTGTGTATTTAGCTAAGGTAGGCTAGTTGAGCTCCTTCCCACATAGAAGAAGAATCCTGATGCCTGCACGGGTTATTTAAAGTGACCTCTCACCCGTGAGGAAGCATGCCTGGCGTGTGGCCTCCCTCTCTCCCTGCGAGATAACGTGGACAGCTGTTTTCTCCGCGTTGAAACATCCTCTGCATTTAAAACTTTCTAATCCATAGTTTAATTGTGACCTCCATTGTTTAATTTTTGACGTGACAACGTCTTGTAATTCGATGGAGCCGGCTGCACGCACGAAAAAACATGACTCATGCGGCGTTACCTCGCTCTGAGGCGTTCCATTTAAGGCGTGAAGTGCAAGCGAGAGCGCGGAACGAGTGACAAAGAGGCACAATCGGCCTCCGCGTTCGGCAGCGTTCGACATCTGTCTCTCTCCTACTTGAGTGAGCGATGCGTCCGCGTGGACAGCTGCTACTCGTATGCAATAATACATTTTGGAAAAATGCAACCATTCCATCAGTATTTTCTTATGACGTTGTCACGTTCAACTATCGTCAGTAAACCGACTTTATAGACAACCGATTTTTTAACGTAAACTAATAAATACATTGAAATAGTGTATATTGTTGACAGCACTGCAATAATTCACCTCAGTCATCCAACCACCTGACGTCGGGGCGCCACAAACAGGACGATAAAGACAAGAACTCCGATTCGCCACAATCACAACACAGTCAAAGCACGCAGGTCAGTGCTATGAACATTAAATTGAAGTCTTTATAAGGCAGATCTAGAAGGAAATGTAATCTTAAGGTCTGGTTACGAAGCAATATTATCAACGACATTTGTAGTATATGGCACGCTATGTTCTGCCTCTCCCACTTCTCTATGCCGTGATCCTGCACATTCACTTTGAAGCTTTTATTTACACGAACCGAGTTTGGAGAGGTTATCTTTGGCGGCTCGTAAAATGTAATAATAGTTGAGGAAGTTCAGAATTCGACCTCCTCAATTTTTTTGATCACCTCATCACATCATCAACAGCCTTTAACAGTCCACTGCTGGACATGAGCCTCTCCTTAGAAAGGAGGTTTTGGCCTACCACGCTGGCCAGTCGGTTTGGTATAGGGTTTGTGTCAAGTTTTCCTCCTCTCTGCAGTGCTGTAGTACAGCGTAGTTTTTATAATTCAATTAAATTACGAAAATATGTCACTTTTAAAGTTGGAGATTAAATAGATAAAGGATAAAGCTAATTAAAATGTATCATAATATAGGCGCATTGAAGCCTGGTACCTTTTTTAAATTACTAATACTATGTTAATTATTATTTATAACCTATTATTTATAAAAAATATGATTTACATAATGACGGTGCAGGCGTCACCGACGGGCACGCTCCGGCCGAGGCGAGCGCGCGCGCGCTCCGCGGACGAGTCGTGGAAGCACGCGCTTTCGCCGCGGGAGAGTTACGACGACTGGGTCATACACGCCGATGAAATACTTATCGGGCCCAGGATAGGTATTGATAGAAACACATACACACACACACACACATCACTATAGTCCATCGGAATTAAGAAGATAGTGATGGATCAAACATCGCTCCTTGACCGATCGGAATTCAAGAATATAATATTATCGTATCTCACGAAAGCTTGGAAGCTGATTGGTCAGAGGGCGGGGCTTGATGGATGCGTCACTATTCTCTTAATGCGAATGGACTACAGCGTACATTGTTGAACTCTCTCAAACCATTTATAGAGTTACGAACTTACACGAAAATAATAAACAGTATATAATATGATTAAAAGAAGGCAAATCAAGCTTAATTGATGATTAGAGTGGACAAAGATACAGGCACTGCCTAAAAAACCATTACTGCAAACACATTACAGATTCATTGCAAGATTCACACTCGTCATTTTGCTATTTAAATTGATATTTCACCACAATTGTTTTGTTTATTTATCTACAGGGTCAGGCAGTTTCGGAACAGTGTATAAGGCGCATTGGCACGGCCAC